TAGAAAATTTGGAAGAATTTTAATAAACTCAACTTGTAAAACCTAACACGTCTTAAAAAAAAAAAACCCACCTCTGCGCTGACATGATTAGCTACACCATTCAAATGGTGCAAGGTACTTGAAGCATGCTGCATCTAAATTCTTATCATGCTATTTGGGGTGTGCTATTTTGTTGAAAGGTTCATATGAAACTGCTAAAACCTAAAGTAACAGGACAATATACTTTACATATCAGAAGTTGAAATAAATGAGGAAAACAGTATGGCAAAGACATAATTCACATTTATTTTGGAACCAAAGCTCATCCCAAAAATTCCTTGTCAACCATCCAGAAGTAGCCCAGCTTTTTACCAACCAAGCAGCTTTTTACTATAGCAACTTCATTACCAAGATTACTGAAATTTTCCACACACTTCTAACAGTCTGTATGTGTTGTTACCTGAGCAACATTCAAAAAGGGCTTTTAGCTTTATAGAACTGGTAGGTCAAAGAGAAGTAAAGCTTCTTCAAATTGACTGTGCATCATTTTAATTAGAAGCAGTGAGTATGAAATCATCAACAGACAGAAAACCTTGAGAACTACCACCAGAGCTTCAATTTGATTAACAGACACAACTTACTGTCATTTGTCTTCATTTCTAGCCACCTAATTCCCCTGTGGAACAAAGCAAGCTCCATCCAAGACTTCAAAACATCTCCAGTCATACAGGCTGTCAAAGACATAAATGCTGAAATCAAAGGAACTTCTTTGAGTAAAGAATCTATCCTTCACAACTGGCTATAGTACGAAATACTCTATTTTGCTGCCCTAAATTCTGAAAAGCAGTCAGCTCAGCTGTGGATCTGTATAAACTGCCTTTCTGCCTAAACCAAACCTGCCTCCAAAAATTAAGATCCAGTCATTTAGAAAGCACATTTTTAAAGACGCTTTGAAAAGACTTTCAAAACTGCTTCCTGTACTGCTACAGCCAATTTGATGCTGTCTATTTGGCCAAACAAAAAATAATGGCATCTCCTTACAAAGAAAATATTTTCCCTTTCTTTCCAACAGTTTTAGGATTGATAAACTCAAGGTTGTTTCTCTTACACTAATAATTTTTCCCTCAGCTTTTACTCTAAGGATACTTAAGTGTTCTCTGGGTCATAGTCTAATCAGGAGCACAACATACAAAGCTTACTTAACATTTAGAAGTACTAGATGACTCCAGAGACAAAAATGAAAGACGAGTTGAAAAGCAGAAAGGAAAACTGGCCTTCAAGGCTCTTCACCATCTGGTACTGACTCTTTCTTGCCTAGCTCTTTCCCTCCATACCTTTGATTGCCCTGGCCTCTGGCCCAGAAAGGCCTTTCTCTATGTACTATTTGTCCTATTTCCACATGTCCAAATCCTACCCATTCTTCAAAGCATGGTTTAAATGTCACTTCTTCCCATATCCTTACAACTAAAAGTAATCTCTCCCTCCTCTCTCTAACTTGTACTGCCTTATCTTTATCTCTTTGGTACACATTACTTTCTGCCTTACATTATCTTTGTTTCCATATTTAATCCCCCACGTAAGCATAATGCCTCACGGTCAAGGTTCATGCCTTATTCATCTCTATTCAAACTGCTTAACACAATGTCTTACATATATTAAACACTCTAATTGAGCTACATGAAAGGGTTGGGTTAGGAAAAGAGATAAGTCCACTAGAAACAACTCCAGATTAGGAGTCCCCAGACCTGGCTTTGCTAATGACTAGCTATGTGACCTTGAACTTCAATCTTTTAGTGTGTTCATCCACAAAGTGAAGAGGGTGAACTAAACCAGTTTTTAACTATAAACTGTTATCCATTATCTGGCTGTAAAATCAATTTGGGTGCCAAAACCCAGCATTTTTTAATAAAATGAAATAGAATCGAAAATACCAAAGTGTGTTGTAGGCAGTGCTGTGGTATGCTGTAAATGGTTAACTGGCTATCCAAAGGAGAGAGAAAAGCTCTGAACTGTAACATTTGCAGGTGTCCCTGGTGTAAATACTCCCACCAGGGCCAATTTCAAGCTACACATGGAGTTCCGTGGGAAGAGAGGCAGGATTGCGCTTACAAGTCAACTGATGAGACAGCTCCAGCAAGGTCCTGAAAAGATAAGTATTGTTTCACCAAACTTTTCTTTCAACTGTGTGTGTGTGTGTGTGTGTGTATGTGTGTGTGTTGAATCAGGGTATAAGATGTATTTCTTACTGTGAGCCACAGTCAAAATAGTTCATAAATGTTCAGCTAAGCAATCCCCTAGTCTCTTCCATGTATGCTACACAATGCAATACATCTCACTCTTAGTTACATATGTAATCTCTTCACCACCAAAATTGATATCTCTTCAAAAATGAGAGTAACAGAGGTGCCTATTGATACCGCCAGAAGGCAAATTACAGGGAGTGGAAATTTGTCTTAGGAAGTACTAGCAAAAGGCCAAGGTTCTCAGCCTTTGTTCAGTTACAACCGAGGGCTACAACACCCTACTAGTAGCAATGGCCCATTTAGCAAAGGGTTAGGAGAAAGAGAAGGAGAGGAAAAGGAAATATAGTATGAAAAAAGGGCCATGTAATTGTGATATGTGCCCATTCCCCCACTCCACTAAGAACCTGGGTACAGAGAAAACCAGTGCTGTAAAAAAAGGAAATTTCCATACCTGGTGTTTCCCTGTCAAATTCTCCAGCACAAGCCTGCACTGAGAATCCCCTACTACTGAAATTAAGTTTTTGCCATGGACTAGAGACATGTAGTACTTGTTGAACTTAGAAGAGGCAAGGGGGAAAATAGTACAGCAAACAGTTGTTAGACTTGATATTCTGGGAAAACCAGGCTTTTATTGAAAAAAATACTTTATTTTCTTCTTATTTAAGCTTACTAAACTGGGTGAGAAGGGAAGTTTCTTGAATATATTTTTGGCTGTACTATGTCTATCACAACAACACAGTCTGTAGCCAGATTTTTCATGAGTGTTTATAAAGAATTGTGTTTTCTATTTTTAAGGTTATTTAGAAAACAAGAAGGCTCAGAATTTCAAGTGGGCTAATAATCTTAGCCCAAATCTAACTCCACATCAACTCAATATATGCCTATAAGTTTCCCAGGAAAATCCCAAAAATTACACCAAAAAACACCAAAAGATGACAAAAAGAAGTCAGCAAGAGCACAAACTTGCAATACTCAAGTATGGCATCCTATCTGTTGAATGAGTGCAATATGGAAAGTAAATGAAGTATGAAAAAGAGAATGTTGAGATACAAGTTCTGCTTAATTCCATTAACTATTCCTTATTAGGGTCCACTGATAGGTACTTATACCTAATTTCAAATATTGACCATAAAGTGAAAATTATTAACCACTCTGAAAAACCAAGAGTCAGGTCAAGCAATGTCTTTCTCCATGCTCACAATATTAAACCTCTCCTTAAAAACTGAGTATGTTTTGGGACTTCCTTGGTGGTCCTATAAAGACTACATCCACTTCTCTCCAGATGACTTGTTAATACATAATACCAGGGCACATTTTGACCTGATTTAATAGAGACATCAGTCTAACTCAGTCTCAACTAACTCCCCTACCAAGCGAGCATTTAATACAATTTGAAGATAATGCATACATTAAATTCATCTGGTCTTTCTCCTTTGTAATTTCATTGTCAATTTCACATGGAACTTTGTTGAGATAACGAATCACAGGCCAGTTTTCCAGTAGGAGCAACTTGTGGACCAATATTTTCCATGCACAAAATCCACTTCCAATTTGACCACAAGCAAACTTCATGTTTGTATCTCCTGACATCATACTACTGGATATTCTACAGAAGTGCAACAGAAGCCACATATAAACACTATTATGAGAAAAGTCAGAAGGTTTTCATGATATCGTGTTGTCAGAATCGTTAAGAAGCAACTACTTACCTCCCACCATGTACAAGATAATTTAAATGTATTTTTAAAAATCCCTAAACCTTCCCGTACCAAAAATGCAGACCCTGAAATCAGTTTCCAGTCAGCGCTGAAATCTGTCAGGCAAGCAAAAGTTCTCCTTACCGTTAGCATAATGAGGTTGACAATTCTTATCACTTACATGAAACCCTCAGTTCTGCAAGTGACCAGGTGAATTTTGGTACATTTTCGAAGATGATCCTGAGAAGTATAAGAAGAATACACAAGCACCTGGACACACTGCCCTGGGATCAGAAACTAACCCTGTCGGTCCAGTCCCCTAGCACCCGGACACCTCCCGCTGGCCAGTGGCCCCTTTCCACATGCTGACGCACTGCCCAGTACTGCACCGTTGGCGACCAGTGCAAACTACTAGCCCAGTCTCAGAAACTTTGACTCAGTTATCAGTACACTGAGCACTCACAACCTGGACGGGGGTTGTTTGGCATGGCCAGGCGGTCAACTTTGAAGCGGGGCATTTCTTGCAAGTAGAGATCTGCCCAGGACGCAGCCTAACCCATCCAGCAAAACCACAAGCATCAACAGCAGAAGAAGAGCAAAGACCCGGGCGGAGACAGGGGGAGCGCGAGGGCAAGACGCGGTCACGAACAGATGCCTGAATGTGGGTAAGAAAATAACCTAACCACACGCCCCCCGGACGTGGGGCTGCTGGGACTGAGAACCCGGCAGCAGGCACGGCGCAGCAGCGGGCGGCAGCGGCGGAGGCGGCGGCGATGTCAGGAGGGCACAGCTGGAAACGAGCTCCCAAGTCACCAACCCCGCCCCCAGGTGAGGGGCGCCGACCCCGACAGCCGGCCCGCCCGGGCCGCGAAGAGCCGCCGCCCGGGAGAACCGCGATGTCCGGGAAGCCACCGACAGTCCCGAACCCTCCCCGAGTCTTCCTCCCGAGGTCCTCTCGCATCCCGTCCCGGGCCTGGCCCCCACCGCTACCCTCCCCGGCTCGCCCCGGCGCCAGCACCCCCAGCCCGGCTCCGGGTCTCTTGTCTGCCCGCCGGCCCCTAGGAGGCCGCCCTCACCTCACCTCCTCACGTCTCCGCGGGCAGGGCCGGAACAACTCTGCCAGGCACCCGGGTCCCACCCGCCGCCCCGCGCTCTGCGACCGGGCCCGTCCCGTTCACTCCGCCGCCGCCAGAGCCCTGGGAGGGCGGAGGGAGCAGGGCGGAGGGAGCAGGGCGGAGGGAGCGGAGAGCGGAGGGGAGGAGGACCGCCCGGCAGGAAGAGGCGAGGGAGGGGGCGGGCCGGGGAGGAGGAGGAGGAGGCGGAGGCGAGTCGGGAGCGCGCGCGTCTGGGCCCCTCGGCGCGGCGTGCGCGCTCCTGAGGGTGGAGGCGCCTTCTCTGCCCTGGGCGGCGGGCGCGCACGCGCGTACACGTCCCCGCGTGGCCGTGGTAGGGTTAGGGCCCTCGAGTGAAGACCCGGCCGACCTGGCTTGTTACGAGTAGGAACAGGCGAAGGGGCTGGATGCGCTCGGGGCGCTTCAGAACCTCCCGGAGGGTAACCGCGCCGTGAGCCAGCCCGCGCGGGTTAGCTGAGGCCGTCCCCGAGCCCCGAGCGAGTCGGGCTGAAGCCCTGCCCGGCGGTTACCGAGCTCTTAGATAATTCTGAGTTTGGGGCGATTGTGTTCTTGCTCATAAACCTGGCTTACATATATTTTCATTCTTAATAATGCCCAGTAATCCTCAGGGAAGTCACCTTTTAAAGAATACTAACTTTTCTCGCCAGTTACTCTTTTCTGTGCCTCTTTCAAGGTGTCTTGTGTACTTACGAAGTGCTCCCTTGCCGGTTCGTTCTGTGAGACTCAGGGGAGATTGAAGAGGAAAATAACCTGCGTGGAATGAACAGGAAGCACTATTATGTATTTATGAAGAAAACGTACCCTCATTTGCACCTTTTTATCCTTTTGGGTCATAAATTTGGGGGCACAAACTACTAGAGATAAAATAAGCTAACTCTTTTTCATCTACTAATATTGTAGTGATCCTTCAACTGTGGATATCCTCCTTCCCACATAGTGCAAGCAAAAATGACCAGGCAATTTTCTGAATTTCCTTAGCACGTTGTTTCTATAGGTTTGTGGCGCCGAATATATTCACCCTTACCTGGGTAAATCTGTGCAATACTTTATCCCACTAGAGAATCTTTGAGGCCCTGCTTCATTCATGTTTATCTTCCACCATGCCTAGCATAGTGTCTGACTCATAGAAAGTACTCTATAAATGTTATTGTATGAATAAGTGAATATATTGCAGCAAGAGTTAAGTGTATGTCCAATGATTTCTGATCTAGAGTGACTTCTTTAGTTTAAAATTCTCCCTCTGTCCTACCTCAATTCCCCTGCACTCATTTCCCCACCTAGATCCAAAAGCTACCTGAGGAATATGACATTTGTCCAAAGAGCCCTCTCAAGTTCTACACACACACACACACACCACACACACACTGTGCCCTCCACCACGCCTTTTTCCTAATTTAAATGTTTATAGATGTTGGGACATATTAAGTGTTGCAACTGTTTTGTGTTTCCCCTACCTGCTGGGCTTCTTTACGCTGTGTAACCCAAGAGACTACCTAGCTCTGGGCCTGACGCAATAAATGCTGGTCTTTTGATATTTAATAAAGTTAAATATAACTCAAAACATCTGTATCTATTAATAAATAAGCCAACAACTATGTACTTAGCCTCTACTAAACGAAATACTAGTAAAGTTACACTGGACACCATAAGAAAGTCAATAGATGAAAAAGACAGTTTCTGCCTTCTGATATCTGCTAACCAGAAAAAACTTTCTGAGAAAAATGGCAACACTGTGATAATTATCTGCATTCAATAAGAAGCAGCCCCTGAAAAAGGAAATAAAATTTTTAAATCACAAGTCCAAAATAAGTTTAGTGTTCCCAAATTCATTACCACATGCCTTCGGCAGCAATAACAGTGTCCACCATTGGCTGTTGCCAGTTAATTCTCCTATTAAAGTGGAGCATAACAGCCAAGTCACTATTATAGGATCATTGATGTGCCAGCTTGCTACAAGGCAAAGAACTCTGTCCCATGGCCACATGTTACACCTCTAATCACCAGGGGTCATTCTGTAAAACCGAGCTGTTCCTCACAATAGAACTTGGATAAGAGATGTCACAAGAGAACCTAGATAAGAGACAAGTCACAAGAGAACCTAGATAACAGACAGTGAAGGTGATTTGGTACAAACTCATCCTCACTACCAGAAAAACAGTTCTAAGTACATTGCAAAGAACTAATAACAAAGCATTCTTCCTATAATGTGTGATGCTCACTTCTCTCCCCACTATGGCTTTCTTAGTATTAAGCATACACTAGCAGCCCTGGTCCATGAAAGGACTGAAGCTCTTACTTTGAGGGGAGGTGTTATAAAATGTTCTAACATTCATAACATGACAGAAACTGGTGTCCTAGGTCCAGATCTAACCCACAAATGCATTTTGTTTGGCCTGCATGGTGCTTAAAAAATTAGCCAAAGTTAAAAGCCAGAAGATTTCACATGCTTTTTGGGGTTCTTTTTAAAAAGTGGAAGATTTGGAAACAGTGGGCTTACATTTTCACATGAGGATAGTAAGCTACAGGACATGCTTTGTCTCTTTTACAAAGTCTTTACATTCCTTATTGTACCTTACACTGCTCTGTTTCCTTCATGTGGGTCTGCAATTCCCAATTTAAAATATAATACTGTATCAAAAACTGGAAACAAGTTCAACTTTGAACAAAAATGTTAGAGTTTAAACTATGGTATTTAATGGAGTAGAATATTATTATATTGCGTTTATAATGAGCACTATTGGTTGACTCCCACCCAAGCGTGCATTTCTACCCCTCTGCAATTGTAAGTTAGCTAATGATTTGAGTGGGAACAGGCCCAGCTCCAGCTCCAAGTGTAGACCCTAACTGAGGTACGTAATCAGCCTAATCAGGTCCTCACCTGACTCTATCAGTGATAGACACTAACACAAGTCTAAATTGGTCCAGTCATAAGGAAGGCCAGATCTTGTGTTTGTTGGGAGAAGAAAAGTCCTCTCTCTCTCTCCCTCTCTCTCTCTCTGTCTCTCTGTCTCTCTCTTTGTCTCTCTTTGTCTCTCTCTCTCTCTCTCTCTCTCTCTCTCTCTTTGTCTCTCTTTGTCTCTCTCTGCCTGGTGTGATGGATGCATGTGAGTCCCATAGTTACTGTAGGCACTTTGCTACCATAAGGGCAGCCAGCCTGCGGATAAAGCTGACACATGGTGCAAGAGCTCGAACCCAGATTGAAACCTACCACCTTCCTCTGGATTTAGTAATTTCCCTGAGCCAATAAATTTTCTTAGCTACTTAAGAAAGTTCGAATTTGGCTTTTTATTACTTGCAGCCAAAGCTAAATTTTCCATGCATGTTACAGAAGAAAAGGCTGTAGTTGCATTATTTGACTCTTCTAAGGATACACTTCCAATGGGATGAATAGGTAACAACATACGTGATAAAATTTTACAGGGTCTTGAAAGGAAATTCACCACCATCACCCCCAAATCCTTCCCTGACTAGGTTACCTTATGCCTTAGAATCCTTCACTATACTTTTTTTAAAACTTTGACTTCAGTCCTATGCCCTATTTAAATCAACTTACCCTGAGAAGAGCACTTCATGATTCTAATCAGTAATCTTGTATAAATGAGTTTATCATACGGTTTTTGAGTGGTTTTTTTACTAGTGGGAAGATAGAAAAAGAGACAATGGGAACCTGAGGAAGGAAGGAATCACAGAGAGAGCGAAGATGTAATAGAAGAAACTACAGATATAGAAGATAAATTCTTATATTTCACAGTTCTATGCAGGGCTGAAATTCAGAGTAATTCAGGCAAATCATACTAAGCTATATGATAAATCAAACCAATATTATAATCACCCTTTTAAGACTGAATAAGAACAAAATCAAACAATATGTATATAAGGATCAGAAAATTTCCTCAGCAGTAGAAGAGGCAAGCAGAGCCATAAATATCTCTCTGAAGAAGAAGAGCTGATGTACTACTTTTGTGATTCGATAAGAAATGAAAAGGATATCTACCAAAAAGTATTCCCATACCTTGTGGCAGGAGTCTGAAATTCACTTCACTATCAGAGTCCTTTTCTTGGTCTGGGGCAGTGATCCTCATTAATGTATAACAAAGTCACCTTGGGAGTTTATTTTTTAAATGCAGACTTCTATACTTAACCCCGAAGAGATTCAGTAACTCTGGGATGAGACTTGGGACTTGTTTTATTTTAACTTTTTATTACAAAAAATGTTTAAGCACATAAAAAGTAGAGAGAATAGTATAATGTCTTTATGTGCCAATCATTCAGCTTGAACAATTATCACCATATGGCCAATCTCCTCTTCCCTACCCCTCACATGGATTTCACCTATAAAAAGAAGATAAATATATATTTCATTATATAGTCCTAAAAGGTAAGGATTATTTTTTTTTTGCAATCAATAAAATCCAGAATGTGGAAACTCTACGGGACAAACCACCAAGTTCCTTCAACAAATATATTGCATAAATAAAAATAGGAAGGAGGATATGCTTCAATTGCTTGAATCTTCATTTTGTTTGTTTGTTTTTTAACAGCTTCATGCAGTATAACTGCCATACAATGAACTCTACATATGTAAAGTATACAATTTGACAAGTTTTGACATATGTATACACCTGTGAAACCATCACAACAGTTAGGACAGCAAACGTATTTATCTCCCAAAAAAGTTTCCTTGTGCCTCTTTGTAAGTTCTCTCTCCTATTCCCCCATCCTCAGGCAACCACTGATCTTCTGTCATTCTAGATTAGTTTGCATGTAGAGTTTTCTATAAATAGAATCACACAATAGGTATTCTATTCGGTGTTGCTTCTTGCGCTCAGTGGAATTATTCTGAGATTCATTCTCGCTGTTCATGTATCAATAGCCATTGCTTTTTAGTCTTCCAGCCTCACGACATGCTTCCAGTTCCAGTATCCACGTGAGCCATTGGACTTCAGCATGTACTTGGCTTCAGCTCCCTCTAATACTCCATTTTTCTGTTTTCCTTTTTCTAAAACCTGGCAATTTCCCCTTTCTTGATTTCAAAATATTGAAATTGTCAACGTATATTTTTTTCAGTTTTTTACATTATTATCTAGCATGTTTATATTTTTGGAAAGGTAGAGAGTCTTCGTC